ATTTATTTTAAACTCAATTACAATAGTTATTATTAATCTACATTCTTTGGGTATAATTAGTCATGTTTGAAGAAGGTTGTCCAAACATCTGGTCTGCTGACTGAGATTTTTTATCTATCTCCAAACTTGTTATCTAGTACTCTCAGAAATATTCTATCACAGATGTGTTTTTTCTCTCAAACTAATTTAAGGTGTATGTATGAAGCATGATTCTGTTGTATTTTCCTTTACTTTTTTTCTTTGCACTTTGACTTAGGCTACAAATAGCACAATAAATAATATTTGTATTTTTATTTATTATTTATTTTTTAAAACTTTTTTTGATTGGCCATCTCTATGGCTTTGAACCTCATCTTTCTTTTACACTGACTTTCATGCTGCTCATTTTAATTGGGGAAACCATCTGCACAGAAATCTTTGTAGATCCCCTGCAACATGCCCACTTAGTGCACGTAAAAAAAAAGACACATGCATTTTGACTCCTCTCATATAGAATCTTTTAAGATCATGATCTTAGTCTGCATTTTGTTAGAGGCTTGTTGGAGAGTGATCCGGAGTAAAATTGACCGTTATACCCTTGTTCTACTGGAATATTCTATGTAAAGGTTAGTTTCTCTCAGAGCATCTATTACCTCTTAAAATAAAAGATAAGATTCCTGCAAGACCTTACAGTAATGGTGGTGTTAGCATCCATAGTGAGATTCTTGTTGCACTGGTGGCTTCCACAAAATAAATGGAACAATAAAGTAAGGGAAAATACTTCCCACCCACTGAGAAAACTTTGGTTGCAAAGACATTGAAAAGATTTCCTCATTTACGTCCAAAGGACGTCTATATTTGAGTGAAAAGTGAAAAGCAAACACAGTTTTCATTGTCTTTTCAACAATCTGAAAATTACGTCTTTTCATCTTTAATAATATGTATTATTGGACTATAGTGGGAGAAAATCCGACTGACTGAACACAGCCTAATTTTTAACAACAATTTCTGGAATAAATCAAGATTATGATGAACCAACAAGATCTAGCCTAAAAACCAATGTCTTAATAATATCTGGTGTTTAAGGGGATTATTTGAGTTAAGACGTGTTGACCACTGCCTTCTGAAGCATCCCATTCTTTTGCTTGAGTTTTAGATAGCCAGCTTCAATACTTATGGTTGTCACTCCAGCAGACATGCCTAAGGTGATCCGGCATGAGTTTAAAGAGGTCAGAGAATAGTGGAGGCCATTCTATCCTCTTCACTCCTTTGTTCTGGAGTTGTGCTCTAGCCCCTTCTCCACTGAAAGCAGAGGGTTTTAAAGTGCCAGGATTTCTAATAGCTAGGTAACTGGCTAATTCATCAGCTGTCTTTCCCATGACTCACAAGGCCCCGTGACAACTTTACTACACCATCAGTATAGAAGGCGGTAATTGGAACATCAAGTGGTTCTCCCTTTACTTCCAGCTGACAAGCTGTAAGTAAATGCTAACCTTAAAATATTTATTTGAACTTTAATTCTTTTATCAACATAAATCTTGCCAGATTTGCTTTTTAATTTTATGATTCATTAAAAATAAAAACTCAAAACTAATTAAGACAGTTTTTTTTATGAGAGTGACCAGCCAAATCTTAGATATCTACATCACAAACAGGAAATGTTTTAAGTCAAAATGTTTTATGAGTCCACATCTCCACATAAGCGTATATTTATATAAAGTACAAGCTTTAGATTTGATGATGGAAAAATCCCCACAAGCCAAGAAACGGCGACCAACTTGTGATCTCTCTTGCCGTCCTGTTAGCATAGAATCGTGAAAGACTTTAAATTAAAAATTGTGTTTTTATACATGAAGAGGGTTATAGTACAGTAGTTATACATGAAAAGTCATTCTAAAGAGAACGTGTAATTCTTGTTTCTAATAAGAAAAGTAACAGAGCCCCTGTAGCTCATTACTCTGAATAGTTTTCTTTAAACTGTGGCAAAGCAATCAAATTCATACCTACATTAACCAACAGTCAAAACGTTCTTGTGAAACATTACATTTTAAATTGTGACTCTCGCAGTTTTAACACATACCTCATGAGTGGTTTATATTCTCTTTCAGTCACTGCAGACAATTACAGATATCAGGACATCATTGAGCTGCTGGCTGGGCTTTACATCTCCCTTTCAGGATTCCCACTGTTACTACCATCTGCTTAGCCTTACTGGCCTACTAGCTAGACAGGACTATTAGACTTAGACAGATTTATTTTTTCATTTTGTGTACACAAATGTAAACAAAAAGAAATTTCGTTAAGAACAGCTCTCCAGGCAATTAAATTTTTTAAAAGTGCAGCCTTAAAAAACACACAAAAAAAATACATAAAAAGAGTAATATAAACATAGGACTGTATATTTACATTTCTAACATTTCATGGTTTTTAATAATAAATATAATAAATAATAACTCTTCAAATAATAAAATATGATAAATATAATAAAATACAATAAAATAACCCATTTTACAAAACATTCAGCTAATGGCAGTGGGGAAGAAACTGTTATGGAATCTGCTGGTCCTGCATTGAATGCTGTGAAGCCTCTTCCTAGAGGGCAGCAGGGATAACAGTCCATGGTGGGGGTGTGAGGGGTCATTTATGATGTTACGGGCTCGGGACACTCAGCGTTGGGATGAAATGTCTTTAATGGAGGGAAGACATCCTGGCGCTTTAAAACCCTTCGCTTTCAGTGGAGAAGGGGCTAGAGCATAACTCACATTAGAGGTTATAATATAAGAGGTTAGAGGAACTGCCACTGTAAAAATATATTTAAAAGTACAATCATAATTTTAATCATTAAGTTTTAAATTTTGATCATTTGATGGATTAAGTTTTGTACTTTCTCGTTTAAAAACATATTTCATGAAAAAACTTTTGCATTCTTCTCTTCACTGGTTACTGCCACCACTGTTGAAACAAAGCACTGCAGCTGTACACAAACCACCCCTCAAAAATCCAAAACGTACTTGGTCTCTAGGGTGACCAGAGTCCCAGGACAGTAAAGACATGGGAATCTGAATTTACCTGGGTAAATGTGTATGGAAAGGCTTTCAAATGCTCCAGGCTTTTTAATTGCAATGGAAATGGGGCAGTCAAGCGTTAGCATCTTATTGAACAAGGTTTGGTCCATTAGAGACGAAATATGAGATTGCTACTGGTTGCAAAGTATAATCTTTATATTTTTCTGGATTAAAATTGCTTTCTGATAACAGGTGTTATTTTGTATGGAAGGAGATTCTAAACCACATCCTCATACTGCCACCAAGGGCTCTTTACCACTGATGGAGTTTGCAAAGGCTGAGCAGTAGTAATTGTGACTTTATATGCCTATAATATCTGAAGTAAAACCAAGAGCACACTTTTTAAATTTAAGAGCAGGATTTCCTTTACTTGCACTCAAAACTTGTAATGCTCCCAATCAAAACATCTGTATTCTCTCATATATATTCTCTTCTGCTTCAAATCCTTGTTTCTGCTACCAGATCTAATGCTTCTTACTAGTGTTGCGCCGATGCCATTTTTTGGCCCCGATACCGATACCCGATACCTGGCTGTGCAGTATCAGCCGATACCGATACCATAATAATGTAAAATAATTGCCATCATGGCTTTGTCAAGCTGCTGCCTACGTTTGCGAAGCAGGAAAAAATCTAATACAAAGTGAATCCAGTAGAACTTTTTATTGTCTACCAGGAGTGGGTGACAATAGTTGAATAAACTTATGGCTCTCAAAATGGTATCGGTGCCCTATTTGTTGGTACTCGCCGATACCGATACCACCATTTTAGGGCAGTATCGGGGCCCCGTCCGATACTGGTATCGGTATCGGTGCAACACTACTTCTTACACATCTATTTTCTCCTCTCCTTTACGTCCTTCTCCTCGCATGCAAACCAGTCTCGGTTTGAGTTACTGATATGCTCGGAAACCCATCGGCTGAGCTTGTGGATTTTTTTGCTCTCTCTGGAATCAAATCGTCGCCTTGCAACCATTCCAGCCAATAGAACGAAAGCTTTAGAAAGGGTGCACTTGTTTTCTTCTACTGAGTTTTCCTGTTACTCCTTACTGATAATGAAATTGCTTTGCAATATTAATTCTGATAAGATATGAAGCTGAAAACAAAAATAATTTGAAAAAAAATTAATAAAAGCCTAGAAATTTCTAAGGGGCGATTCCACAACCAACAATGAAAAGTTACCTAATTTCTGATGAAGGCAGCATTAGCACAAGCCCTGACTAACATATTATGAAAAAGGAAGCAAGTCTCAAGTAAGTAGCCTACTTTTATTGAGGCTAAAATTTTTAATTAACCCATTAATTTTTTTTTCCTATGAGTTCATGTATTTGATCTGGCATATAAGAAGAAAACATTTGAAAACGATTTTATTATTAGTACCGGTAAGCAGTAACTGCAAACTCAGTAGAAGAAAAGAACTGGACTCTTAGGTTGAGGCTGTCTTTCTATTGGCTGGACAGTTGCTAGGTGACGATCAAACTCCAGCGTGAGAGAGAGAGAGAGTGAAAAAAATCCAAAAGCAGAGCCGACGGGTTTCCGAACATATCTCTGACTGGAGAAGAGAGTGGTTTGCGCCCAAAGAGAAGGAAGTAAACAAGAGGAGGAATTATCTGTGAGAAGCATTAAATCCATGAGCAGGAACAAAGATTTGATGGAGAAGATAATGTATTTGAGAGAAAGCAGAAGTCTTGAATTTGAACATTAAAAGTTTTTTATTGCATGTAGAGGAAATCTCAAATTGAAAATGTGTGCTCTCTGTTTTTGGCAGGAAAGATCTTCCATAGAAAGGCATAAAGTATAACAGGCAAAGAAACACAAATCACAATGGGAGCTTTAGAAAACGCCTTTAGTTTATGCAAGACTGGTATGACAATGACAATGACCTCCAGTCCATAATGTATAGTTTGTTTCCAACAGTTTCTTATTTTTTGTCTGTATGTTTATCTGTTTATGTACCCAGCTGCCCTGTGTGCAGACGTAGAGGAGAGGCTGGTGAGTCAGCTGTTGTCACCGGAGCGGTATAACAAGCTGATCAGGCCAGCTGTCAACAACAGCCAGCAGGTCACAATTTACATACAGGTGTCTCTGGCCCAGCTGATCAACGTGGTAATTAAACACAGGATCCCACCACTGAAAGGACAAACTGCTATAACACCATCAGATCTTATGAATGTCTATTTTAAAGGATTCTTTTGTTTTCTTTGTCTGAATTGTGTTTCCATGTTTGCCGGTGTTTCAGAATGAGAGGGAGCAGATCATGACCACTAACTGCTGGTTAACCCAGGTTTGTTCAGTTGAACTCTACTGTTTGTCCCTTTAAAAGTGTGTGTGTGAGAATGCATCATATCTGTGGTTCATGTTAGTCGTCATATGCACATAAATGCATTGAGGTTTGTCACAGTGCAGTGGTTTGTGGAAAATTGTGCACAGACATAAAGCCGGTTCACTGGTGAGGTCAGCTCACAGCATGTTAGTCAAAAATTCTGGTGTACTATTATAAATACACCGTGACAGCTGACTCAACCAATACTTTCATGGATGAACCAGCCTTGTTTACATATGACCTCAAAATTCATTTATGTTGCTTTGTATGAATTGAATCATTTAAAAGTTCCTAGCGAAGGTAAATAATGGATATCTTTTAAACAAGCCCTTGCTTGTTTTTACATGTTATCTCATAACTTTTATCTTGCATCAGGGTTGGAACGACTACCGATTAATGTGGGATCCCAACGAGTATGAGGGAATAAAGAAAATACGACTGCCGTCACAGCACATCTGGCTTCCAGATATCGTCCTCTATAACAAGTAAGATAGCTTCATGACAGATACAGTAAATGTGTGTGGGTCTGTGACCAATGTTGCAGTAAAATCAGTGGTTTAAGAAAATTTGTTTTGTTTAGATGTTACTTTTTTCAATTTTGGCTTTCTATTTCCTGTTTTCAACGTTATTATTTCAAGTTTTCAACGTTAACAAAATCAAATCACTCAAAACCATCAAAGGATGTGATAAACTAAAGAAGCATTTAAAAAGAAAACTCCAAAATAAACAAATTTAACAAACAACAACACAAACAAACAAATAACGAGCAAGAAAACTGACTAAAAAACAGAAATCTTAACAGATCACAAATAATTACACAGAGTCACTATACCATAACAAAACATTTTGTAATGCTGGAGAGCAATGTGTGTGCTCTGAAGCCAAATCAAGGTCTAAAGTAGAGACAGGTTTTAGAAAGAGCAGCCAGATTAGATAAATTATCATCAGAGTTTAGCAAAAAGGACACAATTTTCTCTAATCTGATAAATGAAAGAGCTCACTTGAGTACACAGGAAGTGAAAAACCCTGAGGTAGAGCACCAAAGAGGGCAATGAGTGGGATGGCTGAAGCTTTGAAAGATGTGATCTAGTTCACCTTGCTGTAGCATGCAGAAAGGCTCAGAGACTGACCACATAACAGACCCATACCATATTTGGAAGAGGTTGCTTTGGACTACGGAAATAAAGGGGGAGCTATGTCCTATTCCAGCTGCTGTTTGTCACGTTTATGTTTTTTTTCAGTTAAAAAATCTTGTGACTTGTTACAGTTGTTTCATGTTTTTTTTAAAAAGATTATATGATTTAGAAGATTATATTAAATACACAACAGGTCCACATAAAATGCCAAATGTAAGATGGATAAAAAAGAAAAAGAGTGCAGTGAAAACAAGCTTTTTTTCTATAAAAATGGAAGACAGAAAAAAGTAATATTAAGATAGGATATCAGTTTTATAGATTGAGGTATGCCACAGGGTACTTTACTTGGTCCTCTTCTAATTTAAAATCTTATCAACAACCTTCTTCTTGCTTGCACTGACTGCAATATTCAACTATTTGCAGGTGATACCTTTAGTAATCGTTTCAAATCCAATATAATCTCTTCAGCAGGACTTTGACACAGCTCAGGTCTAGCTTCAAGCCTATAAATTGATTCTTAGTTCAGAAGAAAAACTTAATATCTGCCTCTGAGCCTTATTTACATGTCAGGATTCTACATCAATTGCTCCAGTTGAGTTGTTTTAATATGAAGGCCTCTGGTTGATGCTTTGGTTTCATTCACCTCTCATATACATTGTGTTACCAAGTTTCTAAAAAATAGATATCATTTGAAACTTCTTCATCAGTCAGATAGTTGTTTTACTTTCTTCTTGGGAAAAGTATTATTTCTTTCTTTAGAGTATTTTTTGGGTACTGTGATATCATTTAGTAAAATGCCACATCTACTAGTCTCCATCCACTTAATGTTGTATATAACAATTTGTATAGGTTTACTCTTCAATGCTCTTTCAGAACCCACCATGTGTTGTACCATCATCTGTTCTAGCTCAAAAATCCTTGAGAAAACAATATAATTTATTATTGATGTCAAAATATTAGTTATCCTGATTATGTAAAAAAAATACCAGATTCAGCTTAGTGTATAGTCTTGTATATTAACCTCAAATGTTTTTTGTTGTCTCCAGAAAAAAAAATATATATATTTGTATCTCTTGAATTTTTAACCTCTGTTCATTCATTTAAGAAGGCCCTTACTTATGTTTTTCACTCTGTTTTGTGTATGATAACCATTATATTGTGTTCTGAATCTTTATTTGAGAGCTTTGTGCATTTGAATTTATAGTGTGATTGTTCAATGCCTTAGCTCCCACCTTTTTATAGTTTTTGCAAAAACAAATTGCATACCCAAACTGCCATTAGCCAGTAAAATAACATAAATCCACCGGCTCGTGATGTAACTCTTTTGAAAGCTAACATCTTTTAGTTTCTGGAGATATCTGTACAAGCTCTGTAACATTTTCACAACTTGAGCTATATAACTTTAAACATGTTCAAAAAATATTTTTTTCTCCCTCGCTTTAAAAAATAATATATGTTTAATATTTTATATCTTGGGTATAATTCATAGTTGACCTCTCCAACTCACTACACTTGTTGTTTAAGTTGTGGACAACTTTGTAAAATGTCCAATCTCTAGTCATAAGCATTATAAAATGTTGACCTTTTTTTCATGCAAAAGGTCAATTAGGCACATTTGATTAAAAAAGGAACCAAAAACGCCAAACTGCATTATTTGAATCTCATCTCTAATTTAACCATAAAAATTACATTTCTATATGTAGTTTTACACAAATGTTCCTTTGAGCACTTATTTTTAGATTTCCAATTTTCAGCTTTCAGTATTATCACTTCATTTTCTGTGCTTATCCAATTATTTCTACTCTCCTCTCACTCCTTACACTGATAAATAATAAATAAATAAATCATCTTTACAGCCCACCTCAACACTTCCAGTATAGCTAGGGTGACCAAACGTCCTTATTTCCCAGGACATGTTCGTATTTCACGTCCTGTCCTGGGCGTCCCGGGGTCTTTTTAGAAAGTGAGGAAATGTCCTGATTTTTTTAATTACCTTCATTGGACCATTAAATTTACAGACGCTAGGCACTGCGCACGACGCTGCGTGTGACATCACCCCTGAGCCGCGTCAGTGCGGGCAGCGCTGTTCTTAATCAGAATATAGATAGCGTGGCTGTCAGTACGCCAACAACATGCAAAGGCACAAATGTATGTTTACCAACGATTTACAAAAGAGTTTTGTTCACAGTGTGCAAAGCAGGCACATATGTCTCGGTGTCCAATGGAGGTGCAAGGAATCTGAAAAGCAACCTGGACTCCAAAAGTAAAGATAGTCTATTGATATGTTTGTTCGTTTTTGGTACATTTTGAATAATTTTTGCTACAGAAGAGGTATTTTTTGTTAATTAGCTCATTTGTTAATTT